ATCTCAGCAAAAAAGTTTGTTTAAAAAATACATATGAGTACATAGTGCTTGAAAATATCAATTTTTCCCTTACCTTAAACCTTTGAGAGTGGGCAAAAATGATGTTTTGTAATTTAGGCAGAATTAAATATGCGCCATCTGGGAAGACAATATCTACATGTAATATTTATTCTGTTTGTTGGCACTATATCCAAACACAAATGCATCTTAAGAGTCTTAACAGTGAAACAATTTCTTATTTTCTAAGTTTGCGAATAAAACTTCACACTTAAAACTAAGACATTTATAACAAACATTTTATGAAGAAAATCCCTTCTTCGTTTAAAATAAAAATAAGCGAAATCGGCCCAATTTCATACAATCCTGCCTGACATGAAAATTTTCTCCACGATAAGGCTAGTAGCCATTTCTAACAGATTTTAGGTCGCTTAGTGCTCATTTACACACGGCGATTTTTGTTGCCGCAACTCGACGTTTGTAGGAGAGAGCGGGACGAGGAAAGGAGAGGGGCACCGAGTTGCTCGGGCAACACGCTTTGTGCTCTCGTTCGCCTGTGTAAATTGAACCGCTGTTCACAGCTGACAACAACAATTGCATACACACAAATCTCCGTGTGTAAATGAAACGAGCAACACCAAAAGGGAATGTGAAAAATCGCGGCGACAAAAGTTTTCGTGTATAAACGCAGTATTTGTCAAAAATGGAAACATATATACATATTTGAAATTAAAGAAAACAAGACAAATAGCAAAATCGGCTAAGAACGGCTAATTTTTTTCTGCAAAACGGTTAACAAATCGGCTGCCGGCTAAATCGAAATTTCTCCGGCTGTTTGCTATCGCAACCGGCTAAATCTAACCGGAAAACGGCTCAAATGGCAACACTGCTGAGGTACTTCTTAAGCTGAAATTAGTCAAGAACGTAAACCTACCGGTACGTAAACCCGAGTCAGCTGACACGATCTGTCTTACCCAAGCGCCACGTAAATTAAAACTCAACACCGCAGAATTTTTCTGTAGTTGTAGCCCGTAGCGCAGAAATCTGCGGAATTCAGATTTTTCCGTGTCAGCTGATTTCTCCTTCTTTAGATGGTTGCCACTTCGTCAGTTTTACAGATGGTAAAAAAGATATAAGTTCTTATTCAAATTATGTTTAAAATATTTGAAATTTACTATTGAATAAGGTTTTTGTTGAAAACTAAGTAGTTTATATTTAGCTAAAATCTATTATAGCACGAAAAATTGTAGTTGAAAGGGTAAGTTTATGAAAAGACATTGATGAGTGGCAACAACGTAGTAAGCAACACTGAGGGCTCCAGTAATCGACAAAATTCTGCGTATACAGACTGCGTTTAAGTATACGTTCTGCGTTCTCGACTAATTTCAGCTTTACAGGTCTATTCTGCACGTTACCGAAGATTTTAGCTGAAATTAGTCAAGAACGCAGAACGTATAC